GAATATCCGGAGCCGTTGACTTCAATCGACTGCACTTCCTGGCAAAGAAAAACACCTAAGTGAACTTTATCGAGCTCCAACCAGTGGTAAGCGCTCGTCAACTCCCACTATTTGCGAGGCGGAAAGAGTGTTTCTCGTTGTTCGCTTCAATGACCGGAAGGACCGTGGGGCGTGGTCCTTCAGGGCGCCCGTAGGCGGCTATAGCAGCAGCGGCGACAGCGGCAACCAGAGCCAATCGAGCTCACCTCTCGAACACCACTTCCAACATACTGCCGCATAGATTACTTTTTATAGTTCGAATAGTGTGAGTTATTTTCCGTTAAAATCAAGGACGAGACATTTTCTGGCGCCAGGGTAAGCCTCTTAGGAAACTCCCCGTTCTGAAGAGGTGATTTTCAGATTCCTATCGTTAGTGATGGAACAACTAGAACGGCCTGGAGGGATACTTGCCAGTGGGCTATGGGAAATACGCGAAAAGCAGAATGGCACGGTAAGTCATCTGGTCCAATTATATAGGTGTTTCAAGATGTTGTTTTCAAGATTCCACAGAATCCTCCACCAATCGCACAACGGAGGGCACGGTCAATGGAGTCAAGACGAGGTATACTGGCTGTGGCACTCAAAGAAATGAAAGCAGCTCTCAAGGATCTGGAAGCCGACAGGTGAACTCCCACTTAACTCAGAGTTGACTTGGAATTATCTGCACCTTTCAGAACACAAGAGAGCACTCGTATTGGCATCCTCGGAACAGCGCTCGAAGGAAATGAAAGCGATTCCTTATGAAAAAGCTGTGAGGTTTACGATGTTAAAGACATAGCTTAAATGGGAAAAATATATAAATGGAAAAGAATGAAATGCTGAAAAAAAAAAATGATTCCTTTCTAGGAAATGTAGGAAAACTTTCGATTTTTTCCAGTGCGAAATGATCCGCCCAAATCAGCAGACTACAAAGGAATGATTGGTTTACTCCTGGAAACTAAGGATGAAGAAGAACTGGAGAAGTTGGGAATGAAGGTGAGTGGAGCAGATCTGTCGGTGCTCATGTCGTTAGGGGGGGCATTTAGGTGAGCTACTTACAGTACTTGAGACTCAATTTTCATTCGCGCAAGAGCTTGACCCGAGTGTCACCTACCAGCGGTTTTAAATGCCCTATTTTGAATGCCCCCCCCCTAACGACATGTGCGCCAGACTTGTTCCAGAAAATCAATCCATGCTTCATTTTTTGTTCCAGGATTTAATGAATGATAAACCTCGGCGATTTTCGACGGCTGTACCAGATGGTGGAGTGCCATCGCCCCCGGACGGGGACGGGGCTCCCACACCCCCGAAGAAAGTGTTTGTTCCGAAGAGAAAATCTCGAGAAAGCACCTCCAGCAATGAAGAATCAAAGGAACATTCACCCGGAGAAGTGAGAGGATTCATCGATTTCTATTTACATTTATCAGTATTTATGTATTTCTAATAAATGTAAATATAAATTCAATTGATAAATTTAATAATCATATAAATAATAACTATAAATAAAAATAATAAATACAACTAAATATTCTGATAAATATCAATATAAATATAAACAAATATAAATATAAATAATGTATGCAATTGAATTTATCTGCTTGTTAAGTCTAGCTTTCGTGCTCTAGCAGTCAAGCTTTATACACATCTTGTAGCTGATTGTCTAAGGCGTATACCTCGAGCGCAATAGTAAATAAATAAATAAATAAATAAATAAATAAATAAATAAATAAATAAATAAATAAATAAATAAATAAATAAATAAATAAATAAATAAATAAATAAATAAATAAATAAATAAATAAATAAATAAATAAGATTCGATCGTTCAGAAGGCCTTTGCGCTACGAAGTTATTCAAAAGGACGAATCCAAGCAGCATTCTCCTGAGGAAGAAAAGGTTTATCAGAGTTTCATATCCAGCTCTTCAGGTAATATTTCCATCTTTAGACAGCAGTTAGTACGCGGCCAGTTGAGAGGCGACGGCAGTACCTGTACCGACGAAGAGCGGCGCGCCTGTCGACCGCAGATTTTCTATTGCTGAAAGCGTGAAGAGCGAAAAAGGGAATGCAGAACGTCGTGACACACTGATCGACTTGTCGTTGGCCGATTTTCAGACCAAGGTCAGCTAGCTCAAACAGCATTTTATCCTTTTAATTTACTAGCCCTGATTTGCGGTGAAGAATAACTGCGACTAAAGGCTACGAAACTAGAGGTTATTAGGACAATTTGTGCACTAGAAACTTTTGTTAGTTATTCGGTCACTTTCCCCCCGGGAAAAAGAACCTTTTTTTTCCAAGAAGGGCCTCCGGCGCTATCGCAAGATACGGGGGCAATGCATTTCAAATCGCGTGAAACATCTCCTTTCTATCGGAAATGGAATGACCTCACGTGAGAGGAGGCTCCAGATTGTAAACAGTTTTTTTGTTCATTTCCAAAGCATTTTGCCGCCCTTCCCGCTCCCTGAAGCTTAGTCCATAATTGGTTGTTCCAGTATTCTTGGCGTAGCGCTAGTGGCATCTGAAGCTTTCCGTCCAAAGTTTGTAATAAAATTAGTTTTTCCTTCACTAGAGTTCTTTTGAGGCGCTTCTGCACGTGTTTGCACTTTCTTATTTTTCTTCATGATGGCAACGCGACTCATATTATTAAGGTTCTGTACATGGCGAAGCATGAGCAGTGGCCAAACATGGAAAATGAGCTGGACAATGTGAAGCGAAGCGACTTTTCGATGTCTGACCAGGTAAGGATTTCGGCAAACGATGAGGCCCTGTTCCCAGCCCAGCAAATTGTGCCGTGAGCCTCGCATAGAATAAGCTCTATCGGGCCGCAGTATACGTGATCCTCGCATAGAATAAGCTCTATCCCTGATTATGGTCCTCGTCTTGCGCTAGCACGACAAGAGTATGAGAAATCGAGATTTTCTTCAGACCTCAATCTCATAATGTGCCGACGTGCTGATTGAGATTATGCCCCAACAAAAACTTCAGGGTAGGGTGAGGTGTTTCTGCTTTAACGAGCGGATACCCGATTATTCAGGCCTTTAGCAACAGTGAAAAAGTGCCACTATATCATCCTTGTATGGAGACAGAAAAAACATTTCCTCAAAATCTTTAAGTGCTCATGTCCGTTCGTCTATAGCGAAAATACCACAAATCTTCGTCAATCCGGCTCTCGTCATGTTCAATCGGAAGCACTGCTAGTTTCACATTCCTGAACGACAATGTGGGGTGACAGGCGATTGAGAGAGATTTATCGATGAGTCCAGAAGAAAAAACTGAAGCCGTCGAGGCAATGCTCGTGCGTTGCGCAGTTCTCGACTGGGGGAGGGTCGTTACATATTTTAGGTAGGCGAGGGTTAAAGGTGGAAGGAAAGAATCGCTTCTGGAAATGGACGGGTCCTGGCGTGGCGGTAGCAGGTAGTGTCGTGTTTGAGGGCTTTAAAGGAAGAGGTAGGAAAAATTAGAGTACCTTCCGTTTCGTTGGGCAAATCAAGTTCCTATCCCCCGGTGAATGGCTCTTTCCGAGGAAATAAGCGAGCGTAGATGGATACTATCGAAACTGTCGTCATGACGGTGATGATGCAGGGGTAGGATCGAGGTTGGGATGGGGTCTGTCGTCGTATTGGGAGTTTCTTAAGGCATATGGTGATGGGGGGGGGGTCGTATCAAGATACGTTAAGGGGGAGAGTAGCAAAATTTTCGAAATCTTCACAATACGGTTGAAGCCGGTCGGGACATCTGCGATCTTTGTGAACAGCTCTATCCTACCCACCGACAGATTTTATCAATCTGATCTTACCTGGGCTGTGCCTTTAGGATCGAATCCCTAACAAAGCTCTCCGCAGAATTTTGACAAGAATGCGAATCAAATAATTTTCAGCATGGCTTCACCGCTCTCATGTTTGCAGTGAAAGAGGGAAAGCGGATATTATTCGAAAAATTGTTGGCCAAAGGAGCCGACATCAATGTTGTGACCAAGGTTGGTAGAATTTCCTGAGAATGGAAAAACGAGCGCAAAAGTAAAGGAAGAAATTTCTATACAATTTCAGGATCTTAGAAATGTTGCTCATATTTGTGCCATGTACTCGGATAAAGATATGTTGGACGCGATTATCATGAGGAATCGCGAACTTCTCCGACGACCAGGCGGAGCATAATACCTCTCTCATTCCTGATAGTTGCCGCCAGCTCAGCGTCCGTTGCGCAATTTTTCAAAATGGTTTTTGCGTACCGTCACCACTTTTGGGAGGGCGCGGCTGGTATATAGTGAAGCAAGCAATATATTCCAACTTTTGTTTACATCACCATACTTTGATAGATCACATAAACCAAATCCTCAAAAAGACCCTTCTGTACCATGGCAACCCTTTTTATCGAACAACCGCGTTCACAGTTCTCCAAAAGATCGGTAAACCTCGGTCAACCGCCTGAAAATGCGACCCCCCATTTTCCAAGATTACGAAACACGACACCGCTTGTTCCGATAGTTGCGAACGGAACAACCTGGAAACCTTGCCGACACCACTGCAGATGTTTTACGGACCCTCAAATTTCGCCAGCGTTACTTCGTCGGAAAAAAACCAGCGTGAATCTCTGCCATGGCGGTGAACGTATAAATAAATAAATAAAGTAAATAAACAAATTTTAAAAAATAATAAATAAATAATAAATAAATAAATAAATAAAGATAAAGGATAAAGCATTTGCCGTTGATCAATCCCTTTTTGGGATGCGGCACGCATTCTACTTCCATTTGTACATTCGTAGTGGCGTTTGAATGCGATGTGGCCTATACAATGACTTGCGGGGGCCAGCCGATGTACAAGTCAGTGTTTTTATCCTCCCAGACAAGTCTGGTACCAATTAACCGACCCCGGAGGGATGGAAGGCTTGGTTGGCCCGGGCGACTCACGACCCAGGATTTGATCCCCGGACCGCTCGCGTGGTAAGCGCGCCACTTGCCACTACACCACTTCCGCCCCTTCAAATAACTTCATTTAATTCCTTCTTCTTAATTCCTTCTTTAATTCCTTCTTGTTGGAATGTTGTTCTTTGGTTTTTTCCCAATTTTCGCTTCAGTTGCTGAACCTCACTCCAGTAATATTTGCTTATTTATTTATCGATTTAGTAATATTTATTAAATTTATTGAATCTAGGGGTCTACTTAGATTTCAATAATAGAGAATTTCTGTTAAAAACCCAGCCGTAAGTTTAGATTTGCTGCTTAGGAACATTGAAGGCGATTTCCGGGCGAGATTTCCACCCCAATACATCCGCACGGGTGCTTTTCGCCGTTCACGAATGCTAGCTATACAAACGCCTCGCGACGGAGCACAAATCATTACCATATTTTCGAAGGAGGGTATGCACTGCTTTTTGGGGGTCCTGAGTCCAAACAACCTCACCAGGGGCCGTATTCCTTCCCAAAGGCTAGGGGACCAAAAGAGTTTTTTAAATTTATTTGTTTTCAAAGAGGTACTTCCCTTACTTTTCCGCACACGTTTGCTTTTACACACATATATACATTTCAAATATGCAGTTTCTCAGGGCGATTTGTTGAAAGACAAAAAAATTTAAAGGGATTTTTTGTTCCCCTAGCCTAGGGGAGGGATAGGATACTGCCCCAGAAGCTGTGCGAAAGTCCCTGATCCAAACAATACCATGAAAATTCGTTGCGACCGCGTGAACGTTCAGCAGTAAGGCCCTTCACCACCCTCGGAGCCATGTTTTCGGAGAAATTCTCCTTCCCACAGAACCGAATTTTCAGAACAACCCTTCAG